TTTTTGGAACGGTAGGGGGAACACGTGTGTGTTTGTTTTGGCAGAATTTCGAATGGGGCACCCGTAGGTTTCTGCCATGCCCCGGGGGTGGGGGATGGCAGCACTTGCTCTCCGGTCACCGCGACTTGTCCGGAGAAAAATGCCGCCCGGTGGCCGAGGATCGAACCGCGACCGGCTGCGTCGCAGCGGAAGAGTCAGACCACTCGGTCACCTCGTCCCCCGTTATTTTTATTCTGTATCGTTATTGTCTATATTATTATAATGAGAGACCATACTTTCCATTTTGATAAAAAAATACAACCCAATTTATTATTATTCGTAAAACCGATGTACAATTGAAAAAATGTTTATATTTAATTATTAAATCAGCTAAAATTTTAACGCTCATTAATTCTGTATTATAGCATCATTTTGGCCTATGCGTCGAATGTCGATATAGCTAACTACACTTATACTACATTTTCATACTACTATTCGACATTTAGAGTGGCCTGCTTGAAAATTTCGCACATTCAGAAAATTAATTAAACAACGTCATTGGTGTCAAGTATACTCCGAGACATGATATCATTTAAATATTTAATACAAACTCAACCTATATTTTTTGATTTTTAAACACGAATTTTTAAATATATCAACAATAGTTCGAAATCTCGTTACGAAATAGGTTAAACCATTATAAAGGTATAGTGCGTGTGTATTCTATATCAGCGTTTTATCAACAATTGTTGTGAATACCTCACGTAGTCACGTACCTACTCATGTTATATACGTATACAGGTAGCCAAGTAGGTTAGACCTATTACGAAGGCACGACTTAGGAGCGAGGGCTTTAAGGTGTTTAGAGGGCCCTCTCGTTTGAGCAGTATTGACATAAAATGTATATTAATCAGTAATCACAAATGTACTCTTATACACCTTTTCGCATTCGCATACACAACTTGAACATCGGAATATAATTGTACGTGTCATCGGTTTTGTTGGTATATACGCTAAATATTATATATTATTGTACTTTTGTCATTATATAATATAATGATGATATTCTGACATTTACTAGACATCTCTCTTGAAAAATCCTTAGGTAATGAGCATACAACATTTTGTTATAATACAATGTTATAGACTTATATCCATACATTTTACATGTATTTATGTATAAAATATAAATGTACAAAGTACTTACCTATATCCCATATCATCGTCTTCACCTCCCCAACCCCAAAACAGATTCGAGTAGCCGTTGACGAGGAAGTAATGATCCGGTCTTATGTTGAACACGCCGCCCACCAACTTGTGGTAAGGTAATCTAAATGTTTGAGAGTGAAAAAAATTTATATTGTGGTTTCACAGTGAGTAAACCTAAATGATATACAAATACTATACTAGTTTTTTAATACTTTTGTCTGAATAAAACTGAATCATACATTTAACTATTTTAGATTATATCTAACATCGTACCAACATTTTTAGTTTCACATTATCCCTATTAAATTATTGAGTTATTTTAAAACAAAATGGTGTTAATTATACAGGAGTTTACTTCACTGTATAGTCATTACTCATTACTCATTTACTCATCTATACCATACTATACTCTCTGTCCAGCGAGAGAACTCGCCAATTATTCGCATCTCTACTCGACATTCTGCCACTGACAGTCGTCACCGGTTCCACAATGGCAAGGATAGTTGGGAAGGAATTTGCAGAAGAACCGATTTTCGTTGATGCGCATCATGTTTTCCCGATAGACAGAGTATAATATATACATAGAGAGACAGCGTGGTGTACGTAAGACGTACGTGATATTTTATTTGTCCTCGCGGTGTTCTCAAAACTACTTAATCAATTTTGGTAAAGATTCTATGTCATAATCTAACATCCTACAGAATCTCAAGGAGTGGTGGATTCGCTAGGGTGGCAGGCGAGTGAACACCATCTGGGCCGGTAAAAATTTGAGCTACTTTGTGCCGATTTAATGAAAGTACCTATTATACGTATTGGAGTATTTAATAATAACTGTCTTAATTCAGTGTATTCTGTAATTACATAATAAAAAGGGAAAGGTAAGACATTTTCAACAAACTACAAAGTTTAGTACTATTTTAAGTTTTTAATATTTAGACTGAATTTTCTGTTTCATTGAGGCCTATTTTAATTCCCTTCAGTCCATCCTTGGTCACAAGGACTATGGCCTTAGGCCACATGTGAGTATACAGCCGACCCGAAGCTATCACCCAAAAACCTGAGTAGTACCTATAATATAAATATACGTATACCCGTGGCGGCGCAGCGTGACGCTATATTTTGAAAACTCCTATCGAAAAAAAGTACGTACTCATTAGAAAGAGGTAGTAAAAATATAATTTGAAAACCAATAATACAGTTCATTTTTTAAAGTTCATTTTGTAAAAATTTTAAAATCCGTTTCCTGTATAGATTCGTACATGTAAACTGTGGCGTACCACGTAGGTAGAAGGTACTTATTATTATAGGTACCTATCTATATATTCTGAACTCTTAGTTGTACATACGGGAATAATCCTATTTTACACGATCAACCATTATATAACATTTATCGCGAAACCGTAACCAATACATATTATACTTATTAGTTATTACATAGGTACCTATCAGCTATATATACATCAATAATGTAATTGTATATGTCAATGTCAAAAGTCTGCAAGGGCGTTAATCCTATACTGGCTTTTTCAATAAAATTTATACAATTAGTTAGAGAGGTTATAAAAGCTTATATAAATACATATTATGCACATAATATATCAACTTTATTAATACCCGTCACGACGTCATCATCAGATGGACGGTCTATAGATTGTTAATCTAATAATTGGAACGACGATGACGTCACTACCACTATTTTCAGGTTAGATGGTATAGTACTATAGTGTATCTATACGTATTTGTTCGTGTTTATTCAACGACCTTAGGCTTAGCCTAATAGGCTATAATATTAATGCACTATAAAACCAATCGTGGGTATTTATAAAGGATAAAATAAGAACATAGGGTTGATATTATATTATGTAAGAAAGTATTTTTAGCGCGCTAATAAAATCAATGACGGTTTTATAGTTTTATACTTGCGCCGTTTTATACTTGATGTAATTCTGTAAAAGCCTGTCGTATGTTTTCTATAGTTTTTCAGGGTGTATTGGTTTTGGTTATTTTGATACAATATTAATTTACTAAATTATATACATGGTGAATTACCAATTTCGATCCCCCACCATTTTAGATTCTAACCTGAGCTATGAATGTATTAATTTTACAATGTATTGCGTAGTGTTTTTATTTTTGAGTGTCTGTCATTACCTTTTGCCTTTTGGCGCAGTAAAAATTCTTCGATTTTGAAATTCAGCATATTTTCTTATAGGAAAGTGAATCTAATTGGTACTTTGAGGAGTCAAAAGTATGCCCAGTACTTTTCAAAAGTGTAGAGAAGAACAAAATTAATTTAAGAAAAAAAATTGACATTTTTCACAAAACCACTTTTCAACAAAATTGATTTTGTTTTTTCACTCAAAAACAATTACCTAACCGTAGATTCTTAAATGTTCACCAAATTTTTAGATGACCATTTTTCATACATGATAAAATAATAATATATAATGTAATTAATACAAATTATAATTTGTTAAATTTATTTATTTTAATATTTTGGTTTATTTTATTTTATAACACATATACCTCTACATGTTATCTGAATGTGTATATAATTCTATGATGAGAATATGATATTACACAATTTAAACAATATGGTATTAATATTAATAGTAGTATGATGGTAATATTGTCTAGGTATGTTATACTTACTGATATTTAAATTCGTTGACGGCCACCGACATGTGTCTGGGAAATTCCGGACAACTGTACATGTTTCTGTCGTCCTCTGGCAACATGTCCACGTCATGGAAGACATAGCAGCCGTATAGCCCTTTATGCCAATCACCCTCGCCACGTAGGCCGTACGTACGGTAAATCGTCAAAAAAGCCGCATTCATAATTGCCCCTTTATTGAACGTAACATTACTGACCTATATACAGACATACGTTTTCTTATGGTAGTATTTTGTATTATAACATTTTACATTTTTACTTCACTTTTTAACAAGTATAGCTAAACAATATAAGTACGGTAAAAATAATAATAATAACGTAGTATAATACTACTAATATTTCACTTATGCAGAATTACAGATAAGATGTGTTGTCGTGATGACGAGAAAGAAAACCAATATATTTGTAATAAATCGTATTTAGATGAACCATGTACCTACATCGCATCATATATACTAAAAGGCAAAAAGCATTAAATGTTATTAAAATATGGACCGAACAATTACGATTTGTGTTTACCTGATTGGAAACTTTTTTATCGGGATTTCTTATGAAATTGAATTTAAATCTGTCCCTAATTCCTCAGTAAATTTTTCAATCACGTAATATTCACTCGTAACGATGAGCTGCAGGATAATAAAATAGTAAAAAAAAATACTCTACAACTAATTAATATATTCAAATGGCATTCAAATTCCTAATTGTCAATTATAAATAGAAGGATACTTGCAGCAGACTTGAGCATATTACGATATGCTTCTAATATGTATAGGTATTTAAATTTCATTTCATATATTTTGTATTACCTGTTCGACTACAAATATCTTGAAATCCAACTGTTGTCTTTTCAAGACTGGTATGAGCCTGTACAATAATGTCCACAAATGATCTTTTCTGTCCCTGTAGGGTATGATGATGCACACCGAGTGTCTAGCTTTACAATCATCCGGTGCCCAAGAACCACCAACGCCCATTGATCCAACCGCATCCACGATTTCCTCTTCGGTCATATTAACGGCGACGCTGTCCAATTTCTCAGCACCGTCTATAAAATTGTGAAATTCAAACAACACACATATTACTAAAGTTTATAACACTGCAGGTTCATTCTACATGCCCTTGTGTAATATTAATTGTAATTTGCCAAATGATACACATTACACTGATATACATGTACAATTTTGTAGGTAGGAAGATGGGTATTAAATACCTAATCAAATTCGAAAAATTATAGGTATATAATTAATTTATAATTATATTATAATACCAATACATCGTACAGATGTTTAATTTTCACCGTAATGCTTTTGTTAATCGAGATACTAAAGAATGATCATATTATTATGTTAACTATTCTTTGTTTTCTATATTTAGGTAAATTTTTCGAATGCGAAAGACATTTTATTTTTATTTTAAAATGGCAACCAAATAGTTGAGTTATAGAATTTTGAATGTAGGATATTTTAAAATAAAATAAAACACATTTTCAAGTAAACCCTTAGTCAATAGTCAATACTCATTAGGTACCAAGTAAAATAGGTGATAATTAATCCTTATAATTTAAACTATTTTTTTATAAACTGTTAAAAAAATGTATTTTACTTATTTTTATTACACAGTAGTACTCAATGTGGATATTCTTGGTTGTGGACTATAGTTGTCGTAATTACATAAAATAAAAATAAACAAAAAAATACTTATAAGATTGTTATTTAGTTGATTACAAGATATATCACAATCATATATTTACAGTCGAGTCTCGATAACTCGAATCTCGAAAGGAATAAAAATAAATTCTACTTAATACGTATGTTTCGAGTTATATACCTCGAATACCAACAATTCAAGATAAAAGGCCCAGAAAAAAATTTGAGTTATACAAACTCGATTGTATATATGTATACATTTGGATATGTTCAAAGTTTGACCTCCGAAAGGCCAAAAGTACCAACTATAAGATACAATTTTCTTCCGAAAACCTAGATCGAAGTTTGTGATTAGAGAATTTTTTTCTACTAGAAAACTAAAAGTTGAAAAAAAATTGAATTGAAATTGTACAAACGTTTTCAAATACCTAATCTCATCTAGAAGTCTGAAATTATTAGATTGGACAAAATAAAAATAAAATTATAATTATTTCAGACCCAACCCCCCTTCCCTATTGAAAAATCCTGCATACACCACTGTATGTATACTGTATGTACTAACCTGACCTAACTGAGTATTGTATTTAATTCAATTGTATCAATACAGACTACATAAAGAAATTGCAGCTCACCGGCCCCCGACGTGTCGACCTACATCAAACATAAACTGATAACTATTCTACATGTTTTCTATTTCAAAAATGTTCTACATAGTATTGAATATTTTTATGATTATCGACTATCTGAATTTATCTCTAATATATATATATTTCTCAAACTACAAAATTATGAATTCGTATTTTATTAAAAATGTAACTTAATTTCAATATTATACTTCTGAATAAAATATTAACTTGGAGTTAGCACGTCATTCATGTAACAAAAGTAACTCATTAAATTAAAAGTTAATTTCAAAAAAAGATAAAAAGTTACTTAACTAAACGTTTTAACTTAATTTAAATTTTTAAAGTGTTAATGCCCAAACTAGATATACTTACATAACACTGGTGGTATTTTTGGGCACCATGGTTTTAGTCGACATGGCCCTAATCGTTCTGAAATTACATTTGATTTCTCTGCATTCTTTTGCAATTCCGCTAGTTTTCCCGAACAATATCCGTTAGCTTCGTTCTTCAACTGAGTGACGAACAAATGAAGGTTTGGTGGCTTCGACTTCAACAAACGTTCTAACTGGAAATCTTTATTCTGTGTACTGCTAGCTGGCTAATTTTCGAAATATATAATTTCATTATTTTAGCAAACTTAATAGGTTTTAAATTTAAAATGCTTTAAACGTCAATATTATATTTACTACTTACATCTGGTTTTAATTTTGCCACATGTAAGCTGTTGACCTTCAGAGAATTTCTTTTTTGCAAAGCTGGAGCCTATAAAATAATTAATACAAACATTTGTATTTTGCGTACCTATAGGTAGTAGGTACACAAGATATGTAATAATTAAATACACGAATTAAATCAACTGTGTAAAATATAAAACGATACGCAAATATTAATATTATACTGTTTAGTGTTAAGTGTTTGTACTGTATATGATATATATATAAGAAATATAATATATACATATCATTGACGTAGGTAGTCATAATTTAATTTTTTTTTAACATTGAAAAATGTTAATTGGACACTGTAGGTACTCGGAATTAATAATAAGAATGTTCACATAGTTCAAAACACTTAAAACACAGACTGAAGGTATGGCCTGAATAGAGAATACTTCAGTTTTTTTAACTGTTATATTGTTTAAAGCAATTTTTAACTGTAAATAGGTAAGCGATACTGCGGTAGGTATACCTCTATACCTAACTAAAATCGTTATAATTCATATATACTTCTAACTTGATCAAAATCGGAAGTTTTGTCTATTTAAAAAAAAATTGTGCCTAAGAATGCTATAGGTACCCTAACGTTGTATTCAACTAAAGGTTTTATCAACAAAAATCAAAAAGTCAAATATTTCAAATAGATCAATTAAAATATTTTTAAATAATAGGTGTCATATCCAATAAATATATTTAGTAAACCTTTCAAATATCTATATCTATGGTTTTTTATTAGCTTTCAACCAAAAGTTATTAGAGCTCAACAATTAATTAATATATATGGTTATTCTTTTTAAAAGTTGCTAGTGCGTAAATGTTTCCGTTTTTCCGTTTTTTTTTTATTTTCCCTCCCCACAAAATGTTTTAAAAAATACCAGGATTTTTTCTTTTGACCTCCCTCCCCCAAAAAAAAAATTTAATCCAAATTTTTTACTATAAACCAATACCTACATCAATCGCTCCGCTCAGAATAAACCATAAGATGTAATGTGGAAATATATTTATTGTTTGGATATAATCTGTTAATTTTTAACCAGTAAAAATATATTTTGATTAACTTCATTCGTAGACTGAGCGAACGTGTAGGTAAATAAACAATTTGAAAAAAGACTCACTCGAGTTATGGCTATGAAGCACATGGCGAAAACGACGAGCAACACTAAAACAAACGGAAGCACCTTGATTGTCCATGCCCAGATCTTTGCGGTCGGCGTGTAGCGAAATACTCGGGCTCTCTGTACTCTCACTACCACCATGACATGAAATAATAAGCCTCATGGCTCGCCTGACATGGACGCGATCCTCTGCGGCAACCAGCAAGGACACGCGAAACCCGATATAATATTATGAATAGGTAGGTCCTATATTATTTCTTGACTCAAACGTCGTTGATCTCGTCGACGGTTTCTGTTCGGGGTGACGAGACGGAAGCAGCTGTGGCGACGGCGTGGTCATATCGCGCGTACGATTTCGATGACTGACAGACGAGCTGGGTGAGGCGACTAATACTCGCGCACCAAAACGTATGTTATTTTACTATTATTGGTACATGCTGGAATATGATTTGTTTCGCTAGTTCTAAAAAGTCGTTGTTTGGTCAGAAATGGTTACTGCTAGTTAACCTACCCGGCCGCAGCTATGTTAGTTGGTAGTTGTTACACCGCAGCGTGCAAACAGAGGACTATTCCGTTCAACGCGGTCGCGCACATGCTTATTGATTTTTCTCGGCCATATGACCGGCACCACTCCCGAGTCCCGGGCCGCAAGGGCATAACACACGCGTATATTTTAAGACGTGTACAGAGCGATAACAATAGTAAATCTACAAATTTATTACACACATCATCATATTATTATTGGTATTTTTTATTTTATTGATCAAGCATCTGTAATTATGGCCATTGGCATTTTTGTATGGGGTTGCGGTTGGTTGAGGAACACGCGTATGTGAGTCGAGGTTATTCGTCACTAAAAACCCGGATGGTCACCCATCCGGTAACTAGCGGCACCAGCCGATGTCTGATCTCAAAACACGTTAGTGACTGAGATCAACCACCGAGCCACACCAAACCCCTATTTTAATGTGTATTATACTCAAGTGATTTCTTTACGAATAAGCATAGGTCACTATAATCTATTTTTACGAATAGGTTGTCCGCGATCATTGGTATAATTAGTATAGCAGGTTAGTAACCTACCTACTATAATAACGTACTTATGACAGTTTATTTTTCCAAAATTGATGCATAATAATATAATAATATAGGTAATATGGTTTTAAATTTTTAATCAATAACGTTTCCTACGTATTTGATCTTTACCAGTTTACCCTATCCCTATGTATAAATATAATTATTATTTCAAGTAGGTAATGGTACCTACCTAGCACCTAGGTATGCTGGAATAGCCACCGAATTAATATTTGTTTTTAATAAAAACTATAATTTTCACTTTTCACGACTGATATTTTCTCTTCATTTGTTTTTGAATTTCTAGTATCTACAGCGCTACAAATGTAATTCCTAAGAAAAAAAAACTGTAATAGTAATTTATTAAATTAAATAATAATCCCACCAAATAGCAAAATATAAATTTAATTTACAAAAAAAATCACCCTAAATATCACAGCTGTATATAAATATATTAATTTATACATAAATAAATATTAGGTGGGTAAGTATATTGTTATACAGACTATAGCACTATAGCAGTATAATAGTACAGGTACTTGGTAGTAGTTGTTCGACAATGTTGAAAATATCACAATTGTAGACAGTAGAACCTATTAAATTTGAAATATTTCTATATATTTTATTAGGGTAAATGCCTTAAATTGTATCATCTCATCAGATGTTTTGGTGAGGGGGGAGCAAACATTTAAGTTTATTTAATCATTTAACAAAAAATGTATTTTGTAAATAATATGTTACATAATAAAATACAATAAATTAATATCATTAAAATTAAACAAAATATATTTTGGTAACAGCTAAAAACAATTGTAAAGGTAACAAACAAGTTTTTAGAGCAACATGAAAGTTAACAATAATTGAACATTGAACATAGATTAAAAGGAACTTGATGATTTAACAATTAACATTTTTACAATGTTTAAAATATTAACCAATTCCATCAAATAAGATTAATATGATTAGTACAAACATGAATATGAATAATTTAATAAAATACATTATATGCTTAAAGATGTTGTAAAGACACTATAAAATAAACAGTGATAACTTAAACGAATAGGTAGGTAAATTACTAACATATTATAATTGAGTATAATGTAACTTACCAAGTTGATAAAATAATTCAAATCTTTACATTATATTTAATTATAAAATATCACTTGAAAAGTTAAGAAAAATAGTATTATTAAGTTCTTAAAATGTATCCTAATATAAAACCTATTAATGTTCTTAAAAATACACAAAGTTAAAATGTCAGAAAAAATTCAAATTAAATTGACTCGTATATTTAACAGAATAACTATTTTAACAATGTTTTTCTTTAAACTTAATAATTATTACACATTATAGTATACTCAAAATTAGAATTAAATTAATTACTTAAATATAATAATGAATGTTACAAATATTGTCGATAATTAAAATATTATTTTAAAAAGTTTTAAACTTTAAATGTGGTTATTTAAAATGTTGACCTCAAACACAAGAGATATTTTAATATATTTTAATTGGCATATTAATAACATATAAAAGTTATAATTATTATACTTACAAATTACATATTAATTTTTTTTGTTAATTGATCATTTTCACTTTTAAATACAAAAATAATATTTAATATAAAGTATAAATATAATATGTCTTTAGAGATATAAATATTATACAATCAGTATAAAACAAAAAATACACACAATAATATTTAAAATAATACATTTATAATTCAGAACATTATGATTAAAATCTGCGTTTATTCTAATTTTATAATAATATAATGATATAATAAAAAATTAAAACTTAATACTATAGAAATAATAACAATTGTAATTGCAATTCATTTTTTAATAAAATAAAATAATGTTTCTATAATGAATTAAAACAATATAGCTGGTACCAAAATATTAAAAGTTTCTAATGCCTCTATACCTCCATGTAAACTACATACTTTAGGGTATTCTTTTTTGACCAAAAATCTACAAAACTTTCTAACTTTATTTAATTCATAAACATTGTCGACCACTATTAATACACTGCCTCGATTATTAACTAAAGCACTTAATTCTGGACTAGGGGCTAAATCAAAATTTTCATCTGCAAAGTCTTCCTCTTTAATAGGAATATTTAAACTACCTGGTATACTCTTTTCTATGTAACATTCTTGTGCTCTAGCATCTACGACCAAAAATTTATGACTCGATTTTTTTAATTCTTGCAAATCATAAACACTAATTCTAGGACTAAATTCATTTTGCAATACTTCATAGGTTAAACATGGATCATGCTCTCGTGTTTCAGTTCTCAACTCATATTTTCTAAATGTTATTGACCTTGGTGTTACATCATTAAACTTAGACGATTCTAAAACGCACTTCTCTATGTCCACTTCTGGTAGGTCTGAAAACAATAATATACACTCATTAAACCCAGAATTCAATAATGTACTACGTAACTGGGAGAGAATTGATAGTCCTACAAATAATGGATATGACGAATCACCTAATAAGAGTTTATCCCAAAGGTGAAAAATTTTATGCATGGGAAACACGTGCGAGAACATTGTTAAAAACCAAGGTATAGCAAATAAATCTGGTATGAAACCTTTGTCATCCAAGTGATTTGCTAGTTGTGGGTCGTGGAATGCTATTAAATGAAATAATTTTATTAAATATTCCCGAATCACAGCAGAGTTATCACGTAAAAATACATCGTTCAAATATTTTTTTACAAATGCTGTTAAACAGGCATAAGCTACATGTTCTTCACAAAAGTTTAAATAAACAAATGGGGCACACAATGAATCCAAACCCTGCCAATAAACATATTTAGGATGACTAACAAGCCACGCTTTTAAGACCCTTTTTAATTTTTTATGAGCTACCGAAGACGATAGTAGATCATTGTACTGATGGCATCTTGGTATATCAACTTCGATTTGTCTATCTGTAACCCCGGCAGTTTCTTTATCTATAGACAAATAAGTGTTTTCTGTATCACTGCAAACATTCAACAAACATGCCCAAATTTTTCCTCTGAAATATGGTGGAATATCTTTCTTTGCTTCGGTGAGTAATTTATCCAATTTGAAAGGATATGACGATAACAAACGATCAAACAAGACAATTCGATGAAACTGATATTCAGTGTCTTTTTCACGAATAACTAATGGTAACTTGTCAGTAGTATCATCACATTCTTTAATTTGATCAATTAGTGGATCATAATCTGTTATTTTGAGATGCTGAAGCCTATTTACTAAAAGGTCTAAAGAAAGCTCAATTATCTGTAAGTCCAATAAACAACTTTGATTACGTGTATTACCATACAATGTTCCTTCAAGGATGATCAGTCGAGGTATGAGTAAAATGGACGATTCATTTCTTAATAAGCCTTTTTTTTTTAATGCCCATTCAACATCTCCACCAGCTAGTTTCCACAAATAATAGACTTGATTCAGTTTCATTTGACGCAATGGGTGTTTACATGAATAACATTTATTTGTTAATATTTTTGTGTACTCAAAAAGAGAAAATATCTTATGATCATATAACTCTTTTGGACACATTCTTTTAGTAACATCCATACAAATGCATTTACTGAGAAAGTCTTTCAATTCACTGGGCAATGATTGATACATTGTCAAACGGCCCATTTCACGAGCAAGTCTCATCACAACATCAGTACAATGTGTTAACGATAATATTTTCCGAATTATCTGACTAAGCTTGAGTGTTGGCCAAAGTTGTGCTCCCAGCAACAATTCTAAAACAATAATACCCAATGACCAAGAATCTGTTTTAGGACCAGATTTATTTGAAGCTCTATCGAGAACTAACACTTCAGGTGCAGTATATTTTAGTTTTCCAATGGGAAAAGTAATATTTTTACCACTGTTTGTCATATAATAAATCCCAAAGTTAAACAGTTTAACATTATCTTCGTCATCTAATAATATGTATTGTGGAGTTAAAAATCGATGCACTAAACCATTATCATTTAAATAGGACAACGCGGACAAAACCCTATGAGTCCAACTTAGTACTTTTTCCAGCGGTATTAGTAACAAATAGTTTTTTGATTCAGTCCACAGAGATCGATTGAAATATTGAGAGACTAAAATGATGCGTCCATGCTGTTTCCGAATAAAGTCCAAATGTGACACTAAATTTGGATGGTTTAAGGTCCTTAGTTTTTGAGCATATCCTAAAATTGTAATAGAATTGGGAGTTAACGGTAAACCGTTAGCGCCACAAGACTCTGAAGTATGTTGAGCAGCAAATAAAGTTTGAACACCAAACAATGGAGGAACAGGAGCATCCACGCAGTTGCATGTCATGATAAATGTTTATTGGAATTTATCTAAAATAAATTTAAAAAAACAATATAAGTATCATTGATCATTACAAAAATAAATAAGATATGTATTATGTATACGTATGTATCTGCATTAAACTGTCTTCTTAGTTCTTTTTTATAAAAATTTCTTTTAATTTCTTAATAAAAATTATTATTTCATAAAGATAATAAATAAATAAAAAATGTAGGTTATAATTTTGTCTTAAACTCCTCTTAAGGCAATCTGCCGAAAGATTTATTGTAATATATAACTTACATAATATGTTTGATTAAATACAATGCATTTTTTGTTTCGTGTTAAATGATTTTTTAGTCACTAATACACTTGCACATTATTTATAATAGTAATTTATAAAATCGTATTATAACTACAGATCATATTATTAATGATTATACAATACCTATTTAGTATTCATAAAACCATACTTAAATATTATTATAATTAGCTATATTATGTTTTTAAAATAAATAGTTGATATACGTTGTAATATTTGACACACGATACATAGGTACCTAACAATAAATACCTAATTTTTGTTTATACTGAAGTGAAACTTCTTTAGTTCTTCGTGGGATTCATGGGTCCAGCCGTAGCGACCAAAAGGCGCTACGGGCGTGACTTACTCGGGCCCTATGATAATACAATATCAACAACGTATGATAATAATATCACGAAATATGGAATTCACTGGCATAATAATATAATTTATCAATGACCACTGACCAGTGGTTTTTAATTAAATTGGCAGCAGCGGCGTGTTTTATACGGACGAACGACACGCCAGCCGATGGTAATATTTGTACACAGAATAGTGAATGTAGCCGTGTATATATATATATATATATATCCAATATCCATACCTACCTATTTATTTTATAGATTAACCCAGCTATAACTCGTGTTGCGCAATTCAGATGATCTATATAGGCAGTGTGTTGCATTCATATTTTGGAGTTTTGTTTCTATAGACTATTAATTATGGGTAAAACAGATGCGCAGCGAACAAAAGAGTATCGCGAACGAAAAAAGACGCTAAAACCAAAAAAAATAGCAAAAAGTCGAGCGGAAATTTGCCGAGATTATAATGCACGGAAAAAAGCATTACAAGCAGCTACCATGGTAGATCAGAACCAACTAAGTGTAAGTCGATCGAATATTAACAATAGTTTAGTTGATTTAGCTGCACCATAAATTTCTGCTTTAGTAAATATAATTCCTCCGAGTAATCTTATTACTACTTCGCCATTGGCAGTTTCTTTTCCATCGTGCGCCTGGCATACTCAGCTTTTTTTCGTATTATGTAAATTACCTGTATTTTATTACTTTATTTATTTTTAAGTACAGTAATTTTCTGTTTTTTTAATCCAAGTTTTAGACATTAATTCTTTAAAATTTGTTTTCCAATTAGTTAAATGTGTCCAAATAATTATTAAACTATGATCCCTTGAGACTTAGTGTATCTATCTAGTAGTATATAATGTTATATAGTCTATATTATTCGAGATAACTCACAATATGTAATTTGATATTATTTAGTAATTGTTATACTTACAAGTTACAAGGAACATGTATTATAGTATATTGAATGTATTAAAGATAATATTATGCAATTCACTACTGAGAATACCAAATTTAAACATTTAAATAGATGTAATGATGAGTGAACGCATCTTGTTGATCAAATTTTTTTAAATACAACTTTCGTCTTTTATCAAAAATCAAAATGTGTTATCATTGTGATACTTTAAAAATAAACCTTAAACCTTAAACCTTATACCTCTTATGGTAGTTGCACACTAGATAACCACATTGTACAACCAATCACATTTCTAGAATATTTTTCTAAAAATCAAGTTTCATGTTATCAGAATACACCAAATACTTAAAAATATTCAACTATTTCACCGTGGGTTAGATAATAGCACCTAAATGCATAATAGAAGATAGATTAATTAAATATTTAATGACCAGGGAAATCATTTGCTTAAACAATACTATAATTTAAATTCTAGAAAATTCTTAACACGGACACGGTGGCAGGTCGTAGGTAACCACATTTTTATTTTGTGTTAAACAAAACCTTGGTTAAGTTCACATTAAACTGCTCTGGAGACCGTATACCCAGCTTATCAGTATAAACTATAAACAAAATTATTTTGTATTCAAAATGCTCTAAAATGCAATAAATCTTTTATTTTATAATTTCGTATTAGATTTTGGTTTTTGTATTGAATTTGGTAGTTTTCTAAAACGGCACTAACGGAAACGGTACCTACTGCAGACAATATCATAAAGCCAATATCATTCATTATGCCCCGGTTAAAGAAGAGGTCATTGGAAACCAAAGCTAGAATATCGCGGATGAAACGAGCCGAAAAGCGGAGAGAACAAATTTTGATTTTAAAGACGCAAGCCGAAGAAATGGAAATTCTATGGTATGAACCATAATATAACGTTTATTATTTGTGTAGTCTTTTTTAAAATGAAAGCATTTCAAGCCACTAAGTTGCTTGCAAACCAAGAATGTATTTGAATACGTAGTAGTTGACTAAAATATTTTTGGAATTGTTAAATATATTTATATCCGAGTAAAATTTGAATTTAGTATAAACAAGACCTAGCATTTAATTCAATCTTACTCATTGATAAGTTATTAATCTTTAGACATAATTGCATAGTTTATTGTAAACTTTTTTTATTTAATATTTATATGTTTTAATAAAATATATGTCTATTTCTGTATCGTATTTACTCGTTGTGGCGTTAAGTACAAATTGTAAATTTCATATAAAATAAAAATAAAAAAGTTTAAATGTTATTGGCTGGTGGCTACTGTCTGGCTAACAGCCACCTTATATAGTACGCCAATATATTATTAATTATAATTATTACTACTCATTTCAACCAAAAAAAGTTTTTACATTCCATTTGTTCATAATAATGTATAATATACTAATATGATTATCATATTTAGTTACTTGAATAATCATAAATAATAAATGCCCAACAAGTTGACCATTAAATAAATTGAAATACTCTAAGCTTAAACATTTATAAATTAGTATAAAATATATTGTTAATGTTATACCTACCTAATATATTGATTATGTAATATTTAGTCGTGGTATAAGAAGTGAAGGAGCTCTTGTTCCACCAATCAGACAAACAGCATCAATATTTAAACAGCCTGTTACTGTTCATAAGAACCAAGAAGGAAAAGTTAAAGCTGACTTCAAACACGGAAGACAAGAAAAGCCTAGACAAGTAAGTCAGTATGTTCATTGATTTGTGGATCTATCATAATATCATCTGTTGTAGGTATTTTGGGAGAAAAGACTTGAAGGTATTCGAGCATCAGAGAAAGATGGTTATGAATTAGGTACCGGATGGACTGGTCTATTGCGACCAGCTGGTCCTCATGTTAGTGATGAAACTCTATTGCAGAGTGTAGCTACTGCTTTACATGTATGCGCTATGCCAGTGACTGGACAACCTCCAATGCGATCTCATTATGATAAAGAAATTGTATATCGGATTCCAGATCAACCACTTGTCCAGGTATGATATAATATTTAAATAACGAGCAGTTTAAAAATGTTTTTACACAAATCAATTTTATAATATATCTATAAAAAAACATTAAAAACATAATTTATTTTTTTAGGAGGTGAGTGTAACCATCGAAGACATTAAAAGTCAAGAAGAACGTGTTATAGCGGCTAGAAAACGACTTCAAGAAATAATGGTAAAAATCAAATAACGATTTTATACATGTTGAAAATAATGTATTAGTACTTTTTTTCTCACTTTTTTAATTTTTATCTTTTATGACTTAATTAATATTAATAACAACATGCAAATATATTGATATATTTTCTTTGATTTCATCCTCTTGTTTATATTTTATTTAAAACTTTTTAGCCTGTAACTACTTAACTTAATAATTATAACACAACTTAAGTATGCTGATTGTCGGAATATAATAAGTACTCTAAATACTCTTATAGTCTTCCAAATGTTTAGTGCATACATACACAACAGAGGCTATTTGTACTCATTATCTCTATAATGTAAAAATAAAAAGAACTTAAGTTAATAACTGATTATGGATAATGCTTCTCTTAAAATAATTATTGCTACTTAATAACATTTCATATTTGTTTTTTTACCCATTCAATTCAAACTTATAATCATAACACATATTATAATCTAATGAATAGGTATTATGTACCTACAAGTTACAACCTACCTATTTAATTATATTTAATAATGATTAAAAAACAGAATTTTTTAATCAACATGTACTATTATGTACAAATGGGCACAGTGTCAACACCACATGTGAAGCTGGAGAGTATGACCTTCTAAACAATTGTATATTATTGAAGTAATCTAAACAATCATTGATTTATAATCTACATGGTTTACATGAGTAATGTATACTCTTAACAATTTTTTTTTCAAATAATATTCCAAAAATTAATTCTAAATTTATACAGTTTGTATTATATTTAATCTTTCTGTTATTGTAACATTGGCAGAGAAATATTTAAAAAATAATAATTTGCTAAAAATGTATAATAGTTTTTAAAACAAAACAATACACTGATTTCGATAATTTAAATTGTATTTTAGTGAGAGAGGTAGACTTCTTACAAATCACATTATACTTCAATTTTCAATGTGTAAACTACGTATGCTAAAATTAAATGTCTGATTATTTGCGTAACAATTATCATTAAAATAATATTATACGGCAAAACTTCCATACTACAAAGTCACTTGGGGAACAAGAAAAATGTGTAATATAGAGGAATTTGTTCAATAGAATCATTGTTAATGAAGGTCATAGTTCTCAAAAATAATTCGTTAAATATAAAATGTTTTTAGATTTAAGTTTTACGACATTTTTCTTTATCTATGGTAGGTAAGATACAGAATGGCCTATGAATGTGAGTGTGTTTACAATGTTCCCTTGTTAATAATTTGTTATAACTTATAAAATAAGTAAACAGCTAAATTGCATTATAACATTTTCTAAGGTTTTTTTATGAAAATTAAGTATTTTAATTCTATGTTATAGTTATTACTATTATTCTATAACAATTAATAACATTAAACAAATTATAAGATTTATAGTACCTATAGTATTTGTTACAAAATACTTAACAAGAAATTCAGAATCCAGGTCTTCGTCCTGTTTCAAACGGTTCTACTTCTAATTCAAATCAGCTAGAGTGATGAAGTCCTAGACTGAATAAAAAACAAATGTAATCTCATTAATGCATTATTGATTTGGGTGATTGAGAGTGGAAAAATGGACAATGTCATCTTGAAGTCTGAACTATCAGTAATTTGAATAAATATAATGTAGTGGACAGAATAATCATAGGTATTGAAATGTTGTGACGATTTTCCTTTCTTAATCTGTTATTGTTTCACTCATATACATAGATCTTAAACTGCTATGCAAGAACTGTAAATAACAACAGCATTTTAAGCTCCAAAATTATTTGTAAGATGTATCTATGACTGTAGGGACACATTGTCATTTTAATAACGTTTCATCTTAACGCCTAGTTAAGAGTAGCCAAACAAATTTGTGATTATTGCAGCATTGATAAGGCTTTTACACGACTCATTTTGTAGTACATTTGCAATGTTCCCAATGTGTGTTTGGTCCATCCAGCTACCTGGTGATAGCCTTGTAACATTTTTAAATATTGAAGGCCTATTATAGGGCTATAGCTAAATGGGAACATGTACAGTTCAATTGAGTTGTACATTTAAAATTATTTCTGAACTAATAAAATCTGGTTTATCAGATACATTGTGCACAGGCACAGCGTTCAAATACGTTCTTATAAACTTTGTAGTATATAAGTTAGAAGAAGAAGCATTTTAAAAATAAACTTTGATCTCCTTGGGGCCAACCATTTCTGGATCCTTTATATTGTCTGTTTGCTGAAGAAGATAATATCATTCAATTTTATAAACACAGATGAAATTATTAATATATAATGTAAGGATCTTCCAACAATAAATTAAAAACACTAGTATTTTTCTAATGATTTATAATTTATTTACTTCCAATGTCACTTTAAAAATTACTGTGCCTGGAGCCCAACAATGAGCAAGACAGCAACTGAATATTACTATGGGGAAAGAGTAATAAACTAGGTTTTTCTTTTACATTTTTTTAGTCCCAACAACTGACAAAAACGTTGAAATTAAAAACTTCGCCCCTAGCTCAAAATTACTGTTTCTGAAGTAGGTATATTGTATATGTACCTACTTACGTGGCCTGCGGCAATGACATGTACGGTGTCCGATCCTGCAGTTTATGAATCCAGGTTATTATGTTCATGACATAGAGCGTATTATTTGTAGACAATAAGCTTAAAACGTTTACCTACCTGAAATATGCCCTTTATACCCAACATAATACATAAACATTTTATAGTACTCGACGGTTACTGCTTTTGTGTTATTCTGTTCTGATGTTTCCAATAGTATTATACTATATTATATTTAATACTACCGCAGCAGTACAGTTATATGGCCATACAAAACAATCTTCGACACGGGACTAAGGATTATTTATTATAACTACAGCATCGTCCACTATTTGAAGAATTACTGCACACATTATGTGACATCTTTATTGTACATAGTCTATGTATAAACCCATAATAAATTGTAATTTTTACTCACGCTTAAGACCTTAAACATTTTACTTTCGCATCTTCAAACAACTCCACTATAGTCCATCACCAAGATAACCCTCTATTATATTTATATACAGTCAACACGCTATATAATACGAATTTCAAGGGACCAAGAAAAAATTTCAACAATATAATTTGTAAAAATAGTCCTAAGTACCTATAATTAATCTAGATTCCGCATTAGATCTACTTTATATTTCTTACACCATTTGTAAGAACTAATGACTTTAATATTATCCTTAATATAAAGATAAACATTTTAATAACTGAGAAACTATTCGTTTAGATTTTGAATTAGGTAGGTACATCAACATTAGAAAAAAAGAAGTTGAACAGTCACAGGACACTACCAATTATTACATAGAATAAAAATCAAGAATTTTAAAGTATGGTCTTCGAGCACATTCAAAAATTCCAAAAAATCATAATTATTTGATTCATTATTTTTAAAAAAATGTGGGTGAGCGTGAATCATGATTCATTCTGTACATAATAAAAAATATTAAACATAGGATGTATCATTAAATTATGTATTGTAAATTAACAAACGTACAAGTATACATTGTATAACCGACAACCGTGTAAAAATACAAAGTATATGGTACAGCGTACAGATGACCGTTGTAGATGTTATATTACAATACTATATTATACTATCCACAGCATGGTGTATTGGTGTCGGCTAATTATAATAATGACGAATTGTAAAAATAAATATTATGAGGACGCCAAACTCACATTTCTTCTACGTCTTAGGCCTACTGTTTCTTGTAAAAGCAATAGCCAATAAGTAACAGCATTATGTGTTTGAGAGTGTCAATTTTTAAATCTAACTTCAGACACCCATAAAAAATATTTGTGTAACTACGCTCAACCCTTTTTTATAACTCTTGTAAACAAAACTTAGATGAAACCATGTATTGAATTTTCAAACCCTACTACCTTAGTCATGAATATTAAAAATGTGATGGATTTTTAATGATAAAATATATAATTTGAAAATGTTCGGAGTTTTTGTCAAAAATTACAATTTCAAATTCTTGAAGTGTAGACTGCAATTTTTAATCCCAGTATGGAAGTATTAACGATAATTTACCAAGAACCTTGTTTAAGATTTAAAAAAAAATATCACTGTCAAATCAATACATTCAAATCACCCTTATTTTATCTAAAATAAAATCAATACAAATTATCAGAAGTTTGTTTTGATTTTTATTACCTTTAAAGATGTGAATTACAAATTAACATGTTCAGTACATATATGTAGTAGGTACAAATTAAATTTTATAAACAACAACTGGTGTTGTGACCGGTAATCGGAAAAAAAAGTCCCAGAAAAAAAAGTCCCGGTAAAAAAAGTCCCACACTAGGAAAAAAAAGTCCCGAAAAAAAAATATTATTCTAGTAGGTACTTGTACAGTTCTATAGTAAGTTGTGCTTTGTATTTTAATGTGTAACTGTGTAAGTGTAATGAATAAAATGCTTGTACATATATATGCCTCCAGATGCAGAAGACCTTTTAACTTATTTTGATTCTTATTATGTAAATGGTACCTATAGGAGTGTAGGTTCAGCTTCTACCTTGCATTTTAGAAAAATTCCACCTATATTTTCACCTGCCTCGTGGAATGTACATAATGCCACTTTAGTAGGGGGGCATCGAACAAACAATATGACTGAAGGATGGAATAACCGATTTTCAAAGTTATGTGGACATAAACATCCAACTATTTGGAAACTAATTAGGAAAATAAAAATGGAAATTTCCGCAGATGAAGCGAAATTAGCTTTAGATGCTGTAGGAGATTCAAAAACTGTTAAAAAACTAGGGCAAACTCGGACAGTAGAAAAACGGCTGCAAAATTTATGTATACAAATACAAGCGGGCAATATCGGTGTTTTAGATTTTTTAACAGCCGTAAGTCATAATATAAGAAAGAGGTGTACCTAATTATAATATTAAATTTTTATAGCATTATTATTATAATTATATTGGTACTTTAATTGTATTATTATTATTTACTTTTATTTGACTTACTTATTATTGACTATTTATTATTGTAATAAATTGTAAGTAATTAACATCTTTTATGATATTATATGACTTTGT